ATCAATAAATCTTTCGTAACAAACACCTATCCTACTGTATGGCAGCAAGCCCTTGTTAAACCTATATCAAAAGTTAGTAACCCTATTTGTATGTGTGACCTTCGACCCATCAGCATCTTACCGTGTTTATCTAAAATTATAGAGAAAATAGTATGTAAGCAATTAACTCAATATCTTGAGACTAATAATATACTGCCCAGGCTGCAATCGGGTTTCAGAAAACAGCGGAGCACTACAACTGCCTTAATTCAGGTCGTAGACGACATACTGACAGCACAATCCAACGGAGAGAGCACAATTTTGACTTTGCTGGATTTCTCACGGGCATTCGATACCATTAATGTTCCCTTACTACTTTCTAAGTTATCATATTATGGTTTAAGTAAAAATGCTATTAAGTGGTTTAGCAGCTATTTTAAGAACCGTTCCCAGCAAGTCGTATTAACAAGAAACGATAACACCAGAATCACTTCGGATAATCGGCGGGTTGAACGGGGAGTTCCGCAGGGTTCTTAGGACCACTGCTTTTTATACTTTACAGCGCGGATATTATAAATATTATAGAGCATTGTAAGTTTCACATGTATGCAGACGACTTACAGGTATATATTTCTTTTAAGCCCTGCGACACAGATATAGCTTTGGCAAAGCTTAACGCCGACCTGAATCGCATATCTCTGTGGTCTGAGCGTAACACACTAGTTCTGAATCCAAAAAAAACAAAATACATGATACTGGGAACGCCAACACAGGTACGAAAGGTTATATCGAAATGCCCCGCTGTTTACATAAATAAGGATACAATAGAGAGAGTCCCTGAAGCGAGAAATCTTGGTGTAGTGATGGACGAGCAGCTGCGATTCGAGAAGCACATTTTTGACATTGTACGTAATTGCTTTTTTAGGCTAAAAGTACTTTATCGAATTCGCAATTACCTAAACCTGACTCTGCGTGTAAATTTATGCGAGTCCCTTGTTCTATCAAAATTCAACTATGCTGATTCTCTCATAGGACCGCGGCTTCTAGCTCGTACCAAACAAATTATACAACGGGTGCAAAATGCCTGTGCGCGTTTTTGCTTTAACCTACCACCACGTACACAACATAACACCGTTTTTCAACAAAGCAAATATATTAAAAATGGACCTCCGGAGACGTCTACACTTTGCCACTCTTTTGCTTGGTATTGTAAAAAACAAAGAACCATTATATCTGTACAATAAGCTTGATTGGGCCAAAGATCACAATAATAAACATTATCTCAGATCAATTGAACAAAAATTAGTATATCCTTTTAGCCGCTCAACTGCATTCAGAGGTAGTTTTAAATACAATGCAACAAAGTGTTGGAACAATCTGCCACCTCCCTTACGTAGCCTTACAACGATTAATAGTTTTAAAAACAAATATAAATTACTTCTACTCAATGAACAAAAAGATGTTGGTTAAGACGTAGTATCCAGGTAAAATAACTATGATAATCATTTAATGTAGTAATTTTATAACTAAATTAACGGTGAATGGATTTACCAGTAAGTTAAAATAAATAATAAATCCGCTTTCAGTCCAATTATATATAGGTATGGGTATGCATATGTATATGTTTATAGTTTATTATGAATTTTCGGGCATCTAGAGCGAGCGTGCACTCAGCCGCCCGAGCTGCCTCTGGGTAAGGGCTGGACTGAAAACCAGTGCTATCACTGAGTCCGGTCCGTTTCACAGTTTCATGCTGCAGCACAGGGTATTTTTAAAATATTTTCTTAAATTTATAATAATGTTGTTACTTTTAATTTAGTTGTATTTATCTTTTGGCTTATATCTACTTTTTGCTTGTTATGCTGCATGTTTGAACTTGAATAAAATGCATTTCTTTCTTTCTTTCTTTCTTTGTGCCTCGGGCTGGAGTTTGCGTATACGACAGAGAGGACTGGGCTGACGCATCAGCGTCCCGTGATGTAAACACCAGCGCTCTAAAAAAGAAGTATAATTCCGCCTCTAGGTCATTCCTTCCTCTGTGGTGCCCATTGGAGGCAAATCTCAGCCATGGTTTGGTCGCTCCTGTAAAATAGCATCATGCTATAAGCAGGAGTGCCAACCAAGCTTGGGCTGACGTATCAACGTCCCGGGATGTAAACACCAGCGCTCTAAAAAAGAAGTATAATTCCGCCTCTAGGTCCTTCAAAAGAGTTATTGCAGACAAAAGTCAGAGCACATAGGCAGAATTGGCGAGAAACTAGTTCGCCTTCCTTCTGGAACCCGTGCATTCTGGTCTCTCGCCAAGGCTGTCCAGGGGAATTTCTGTCAGCCATCTCTTCCATCTCTGCACAGGGAGGACGACTCACTGGCCCATACCGCTAAGGAGAAAGCCGATCTTCTAGGCTCTTTCTTTGCGTCCAACTCGACTCTCGATGACGGGGAGAGTACGCCACCGACCATCCCGCTATGTGAGTGCTCCATGCCGGAAGTGCAGATCACACAGCGCTCGGTTCGAAAAGCACTCCTCTCCCTGGACATCCACAAGTCGAGCGGGCCTGACGTAATCCCCCATTGTGCTGAGGACGTGTGCCCCAGAGTTGGCACCGGTTTTAACGCGTCTTTTTCGGTACTCCTAAGCGTAGTCCCAAAATCATGGAAGACGGCTTTCGTCCACCCGATCCCTAAAAAAGGCGACCGCTCAGATCCGTCCAACTACCGGCCTATCGCCATCACCTCCTTGTTCTCCAAAACAGTGAAGTCTATTGTATACTACCAGCTCATGAGGTACCTTGAGGATCACCAGCTGATTAGGGACCGCCAATACGGTTTTCGCCGTGGTCGGTCAGCTGGTGATCTTCTGGTCTACCTAACTCACAGATGGGCGGAGGCAGTAGAGTCCAAAGGGGAGGCATTGGCCGTTAGTTTGGACATTGCGAAGGCCTTCGATCGGGTTTGGCACAAAGCGCTTCTTTCGAAGCTTCCCTCCTATGGGCTTCCCGAGAAATTGTGCGATTGGATCACCAGCTTACTTGCAGATCGAAGCATCAAGGTCGTTGTAGACGGTGCAAGCTCTGATTACAAGCCTAATAATGCTGGTGTTCCACAAGGCTGCGTGCTATCGCCAACATTCATTATATATTCATATATCGTAACATTCATTGCTATGCAGATGACAGCACTGGTGATGCTCTGTACACCGGCCGTGCCAATATTTCTCGGGAAAACGTCTCCGAGTACCGGGACAAACTTGTGTCTGAAGTCGAGTCTTTGCTGAACAGAGTCTCGGATTGGGAGCGACTAAATCTAGTCCAGTTTAACCCTCAGAAGACACAAGTTTGCGCGTTTACCGCTAAAAAGAACCCCTTTGTTGTATATCCTCAGTTTCAAGGCACTCCCTTTGTTGCACTCCTCTCCCTGGACATCCACAAGCCGTGGCCCTGACGGAATCCCTCCAATTGTGCTAAGAACGGGTGCTCCAGAGTTGGCACCGGTTTTAACGCGTCTTTTCCGGTACTCCTACTCCCTAGGCGTAGTCCCAAAATCATGGAAGACGGCTTTCGTCCACCTGATCCCTAAAAAAGGCGACCGCTCAGACCCGTCCAACTAGCAGCCTATCGCCATCACCTCCTTGTTCTCCAAAACAATGTAGTCCATTGTAAACTGCTAGCTCATGAGGTACCCTGAGGATCACCAGCTGATTAGTGATCGCCAATACGGTTTTCGCCGTGGTCGATCAGCTGGTGATCTTCTGGTCTACCTAAATCATAGATGGGCGCAGGCAGTAGAGTCCAATGGGGAGGCATTAGCCGTTAGTTTGGACATTGCGAAGACCTTCGATCGGGTTTGGCACAAAGCGCTTCTTTTGAAGCTCCCTTCCTATGGGCTTCCCAAGAAATTATGCAATTGGATCACCAGCTTTCTTGCAGATCGAAGCATCAAGGTCGTTGTAGACGGTGCAAGCTCCGATTGCAAGCCTATTAATAAAAGCTGGTGTTCCACAAGGCTGCGTGCTATCGCCAACGCTGTTTCTTCTGCATATCAATGATATGTTGCAAACCCGTAACATTCATTTCTATGCGGATGCCAGCACTGGTGATGCTCTTTACACCAGCCGTGCCAATATTTCTCGGGAAAACGTCTCCGAGTATCGGGACAAACTTGTGTCTGAAGTCGAGTCTTTGCTGAACAGAGGCTCGGATTGGGGGCGACTAAATCTAGTCCAGTTTAACCCCCAGAAGACACAAGTTTGCGCGTTACCGCTAAAAAGAAACCCCTTTGTCGTATTTCCTCAGTTTCAAGGCACTCCCCTTGTTGCCTCAGCCAGTATCGGAATCCTCGGCGTCCACATATCGAGTGACGTGCAGTTTCGCGATCACTTGGAAGAGAAGGCCAAATTGGCCTCTAAAAAAGCTTGGCGTGCTCAGCAGAGCGGGACAGTGTTTCATGCCGGCACACCGCCTGCAACTTTACAAGGCGCAGGTTCGGCCGCACATGGAATACTGTTCCCATCTCTGGGCTGGCCATTCAGCGCAGAGCGGATCGAATCATCGACGGACCGAGTGCTTTCCGATCGGCTCGATTTACTGGCGCTGCAAAGAGATGTTGCATTTCTTTGCGTATTTTATCGCATCTATCACGGGGAGTGCTCTGAGGAATTGTTCGGATTAATCCCAGCCTTATACCATACGCGGCACATCATATACCATCCACACCATCTGGATGGTTGGCGGTCCACCACTGTACGTCTCACTAGGAGTTTTCTTCCGCGTACGACCTCTGTGGAATAGTTTAACATTGGCGATTTTTCCGGAACGATATGACCTTCAAGAAAAGACCTTACTCCTTTCTAAAAGGCCGGCAACGCACCTGCAATTCCCCTGGTATTGCATTTGTTCATGGGCGGCGGTAGTCACTTAACATCAGGTGAACCGTATGCTCGTTTGCCCCTTCTCTTATAATTTTTTTTACAAGCTGTCTCAGGCGGTTGTTCGTGTTCATCCACATGTGCATATATGACGCAGGTGCAACTGAGTACCGCGGAGCCGAGCCTATACGCGGAGCGCACGGCGGGCACGCTGGGCGGGCAGCTGGAGGCGGCTGCACGAAGCGGCGCGAGCGGCGAGCGCGTGGCCGCGCTGTTGGAGGCGCTTGCGGCGCTGGGCGGCTCGCCCGCCTGCACGCGCAGCCTACCGCCCGCGCTACCCGCGCTGCATGCGCTGCTCGCCCGCAGGTACTCTGCTACATATACATCTATGTCTGCGCTGCTGGAGGCGCTGGCGGCGCTGGGCGGCTCGCTCGACTGCACGCGCAGCCTGCCGCCCGCGCTACCCGCGCTACATGCGCTGCTCGCCCGAAGGTACTCTGCTACATATACATCTATGTCTGCGCTGCTGGAGGCGCTTGCGGCGCTGGGCGGCTCGTCCGACTGCACGCGCAGCCTGCCGCTCGCGCTACCCGCGCTACATGCGCTGCTCGCCCGCAGTTACTCTGCTACATATACATCTATGTCTGCGCTGCTGGAGACGCTGGCGGCGCTGGGCGGCGCGCCCGACTGCACGCGCAGCCTGCCGCCCGCGCTACCCGCGCTACATGCGCTGCTCGCCCGCAGGTACTCTGCTACATATACATCTATGTCTGCGCTGCTGGAGGCGCTGGCGGCGCTGGGCGGCTCGCCCGACTGCACGCGCAGCCTGCCGCCCGCGCTACCCGCGCTACATGCGCTGCTCGCCCGAAGGTACTCTGCTACATATACATCTATGTCTGCGCTGCTGGAGACGCTGGCGGCGCTGGGCGGCGCCTCCGACTGCACGCGCAGCCTGCCGCCCGCGCTACCCGCGCTACATGCGCTGCTCGCCCGCAGGTACTCTGCTACATATACATCTATGTCTGCGCTGCTGGAGACGCTGGCGGCGCTGGGCGGCGCGCCCGACTGCACGCGCAGCCTGCCGCCCGCGCTACCCGCGCTACATGCGCTGCTCGCCCGCAGGTACTCTGCTACATATACATCTATGTCTGCGCTGCTGGAGGCGCTGGCGGCGCTGGGCGGCTCGCCCGACTGCACGCGCAGCCTGCCGCCCGCGCTACCCGCGCTACATGCGCTGCTCGCCCGAAGGTACTCTGCTACATATACATCTATGTCTGCGCTGCTGGAGACGCTGGCGGCGCTGGGCGGCGCCTCCGACTGCACGCGCAGCCTGCCGCCCGCGCTACCCGCGCTACATGCGCTGCTCGCCCGCAGGTACTCTGCTACATATACATCTATGTCTGCGCTGCTGGAGGCGCTTGCGGCGCTGGGCGGCTCGCCCGACTGCACGCGCAGCCTGCCTTTCGCGCTACCCGCGCTACATGCGCTGCTCGCCCGCAGGTACTCTGCTACATATACATCTATGTCTGCGCTGCTGGAGACGCTGGCGGCGCTGGGCGGCGCGCCCGACTGCACGCGCAGCCTGCCGCCCACGCTACCCGCGGTATATGCGCTGCTCGCCCGCAGGTACTATGCTACATATACATCTATGTCTGCGCTGGTGGAGGCGCTGGCGGCGCTGGGCGGCTCGCCGAAATTTTAAGTATTTCAAAGAAGTACCAATGGAATTAAGCGTGTCGAATCAGTATACAAAAGACACGGAGTAAAAGACAACCGAAAAGGAAAAGTAAATTCAAATACCCGATGAAGAATTGAGAATAACTACGAATGATATTTTCTGGGTTAAGTATCACATTTCTCTTCTTCATTGATAAACTCGTTTCCGAATTAGAAAAACGGCAGGATTCCTACTACAGAAATAGTCGAATTGTAGAAATCGCTAGGAGCGGCAAAATATTTATAGCCTACTGGCGGCAAATGTGTGAATCCGCCACTGGCCCAACGTGCAACTTGCAAGGCCATTCGCCGCCAATCGCTATGCTAGGCTTGGAAGAAATAGGTAGTGTAAACAACATATAAACCCGAAATACGGATTCCTAACAGAAATGTGATCGTATTCTACTTAGTTAAAAATCTTGTAAACAAAGTTTTTATTTAAGTATTTTGTTTTATTATACTTTAAAATATTTTCATTAGGTACAAAAGACAAGTATAGGTATGTAAGTAGGTACTTGGATAGTGAAGTAAACTTCCGCTATGTTTTGTAATAAAGTACTTAGGTATTACTTCTGTAGTTAAATGATTACTTAATTCTTTTTTCGTTATAAGTACCTATTTAACAAAAAAAATGAAATACGTTCACGTTTCATTATCTTTTGTTAACTTAAAAATTGATATATCTCAATACTTTTGGTGATCTGAATCTTAATGAGCAAATTAAGCATCCATCCACGTGACAATGATGGTAGGAATGACGTTTTGCCGTTTTATTTATCAAATATGACAAAACGTATATATTTTTAATTACATCAAAAAATTTCATTTGTCCTATTAATTAAAAATAATTAAATATACTAAACAACAAACAAAAACTATTTCAACAAGCATTTAGAATAATTACTTACGTAAACAGCGTTAAAAAAACATTAACATTACCTAACCTAGAACGCGCTAGCTCCGACTGCGTATATGTAGCCAGGGGCGTGTTGCGACTATTTCACGCAAGTAGCAAGAGTGACAGAGGACAACATCAATATGCTTAGACGATACGCTAAGCATATTGATGACATTGAATACATTCAGAGAAAATTCACACATACATTTGAACAAATCGTTATTAAAAAGCTTAGGTGTGAAAGTATGCAAAGTAAAAGTACTCTTCCACACAAACACACACACGCACACGCACACACACACGCACACGCACTCGCACTCGCACGTGCACGCGCACATTCTTATTACCAGCATTATATTATATATTATTATATACCATGCTTTCCGATCGGCTCGATTCACTGGTACTGCGAAGAGATGTTGCATCTCTTTGCATTTTATTTCGCATATACCATGGAGAGTGCTCTGAGGAATTGTTCGGATTAATCCCAGCCGCAGTACGCTTCAAAAGGAGTTTTCTTACAACCTTACGTACAACCTCTCTGTGGAATAGTTTACCACCGGCGATTTTTCCGGACCGATACGACCTGGGGACCTTCAAGAAAAGAGCTTACTCCTTTCTAAAGGGCCGGCAACGCACCTGCAATTCCCCTGGTGTTGCGGTTGATCATGGGCGGCGGTAGTCACTTAACATCAGGTGAGCCGCATGCTCGTTTGCCCCCACTTCTATTAAAAAAAAAATTTTTTTTTGAAGAACTTGTGTTACAAAAACTACCTTGTCTATGATCGGCTGTTCCCTGGAAACTATAACGATACATGCAATTTCTTTATATTTCTTAATTCAATTTGAATTTCTATATATCACATACACATTTATTTTGTTTTCCGTAACCCCACTTTAACGAAACTTAGGTCACGGAATATGGTTACAGTTTATTTTATATATTTTAGGTTTATTTTACTAAACTTTATAATCCTCTCGTTTCTCAGGACCATATCATCAGAAGACGGTTCCGATGACGGCACGACTCTAGTTCTTCTTTGTACGGTGCTTTTTCAAGAGCGCGCGGCCGCAAAACTAAACTTTCGCATAAACAACTCCTGGGAAGACAAAATACTGCAATCTGTGATCGATGTCGATGGCTGGACGCGGTACAGAGTCGCTAGAGCTGCGCTCAGGTACTGTTTCTGTGTGAATGAAATAATTTATTAACATTTAAAAATCAACTAAGTGACCAAGAAATTTAATTATTACTAATAATAAAAATATTAATAGTAAAAAAATCATTCATCAAGTCAATTAAATGGTGAACAAATTTAATCAAGACTATGAAATAGACAAAAAGAAAACATAGTAAACTGGCTTTTTTATTTTTGGAATATGATGACAAACGAGCACACAGCCCACCTGATGGTAAGTGGTTGCTGTGGCCCATAGACATCTACATCTATCCTCGATTGCGAATCAAAATTCAGATGCGTTGTCATCCGTGAGGGACTTAGGTGGAATGCCTCGTTTCCATTAAAAAGGGTCTCCGGCAGTGGCGAAGCTAGGGCTCCAAACTGGGGCAAGCCCAAGATATGGTTTTGTTGTTTTAGCAGTTTTAAAAATACATCTATCTTGATCTGTCTCCACTCTTCAATTTTATAATCAGTTCTGTCAAGGACGTGTTTAACAAAATACACCGAAGGCATACTACTGCTAGATAGATTATATGACATATCAGCAATTGCATACCTTCGGTGGCTTTAAAAAAAGCCGTTTGGGTTTGCTTGAGCGAAAAAAAAGATGTTTACATACAATACAATACATGAACAAAAGAAAAGCATGAACAAAGTACAAACTATGTACAAAAATTAAAAAAAAAAAAAAAATTATTTATATAAAGATTTAATTACGTCCGCGTAAAATGTTGGTGAACATTTTAATTGTACCAATAACTGTTTATCAATTGCGATAATTGATAATCCTGAAAGACGCTCTTGACCTTGTGTATTTCTCAAATAAGTATGGATGCGCTTCAGAGATGAGAAAGCACGTTCCGCGGAGGAACTTGTGGCTGGAATAGTTACGAGATAAGCTAACTTTAAAAGCTGGGGAAAGGCCTCTTCAAGACTATTTTCGTTTATAAAGTCAATGAGTTTGAAAACATTGCGGTCTTTTAATTCAGGGGAGGAATACAATGAAATCAGTTGGTTTTCAATGTTTGTTTATCAAAATGGTTTATGTAATTTTCAAATAATGAATGTAATACCTCTAAAGGAAAATCTGAACGATATTTTTCGAATAGTTTTTTGTTGAACAATTGGAAAAATTTTAATTTGAAAATTTCAGAATATCGGCCATTAATTTCTAAAGATATGTTATCAATTATTTCAACAAAAAGTCGTTTTTATTCTGTCTGAGCACAGCGCACATTGCGTCTCAAACGAGGAGCAGAGGTATTTTGTAATGTGTTTTCATAAATGTGATGAAAATCTAACTGAAATTCAGTACGTAATCATGTCTGAAACTCCTTTATTTTATGACTGCAATAACCGACATCAACTTGTGATTTTTGTAGAATATTGTACAAGCAGTCGGTTTTTTCAAATACCCGTTGGAAAATTGAAGGAAAAAATTGAAATTAAATGAACACAATGTGTTTTCAAAATTCTCGGCGGCCAAGATCGTATCGCCGTCCCAGTTCTGCGGATTGTCGCACATATCCGAAAACAAATTAATCAGATTATCTTTTTGTTTGAATACCATATTCACAATTCGTGACGTATACGTCCAACGAGTTGCGGGGGCATTAGGCAATTTTTTGCTGCAATGTGAATCATAAAAAGACGACCGTTTTGTGCTATTATTAAAAAAATTAAGTAAAGCCTGAAGGGCTGAAAAAAAAGTGCTGACTTCCCCAATCTTGTTACAAGATTTAGATAAAATTAATGCCAAAATGTGTGCATTACACCAAATATACATGGCTTGGGGACAAATATCTTTAACTTTTTGTTGCACAATTGGAAAAATTTTAACATGACACTTGCGCCGTCATAGCTTTGCGCTATTAGTTTTGTGGTGCAGTCATGTTTGTTTAATAATTCCAATATGATATTACAAAGTGTGTCTGCTGTGCGACTTTCAGACATATCTACATACCCCAAAAAACGGTCATGAATATCGTTTCCATAATAATATCGGAGAATCAGACACAATTGCTCTCTGTGAGTAACATCGGGGAGTTTCGTCAATAATAATTGAAACGAATTTTGACAATTTTACTTCGTACTTCGTACCCACTTTAGGCGGGACGTTCCCGATTTAAATGTTTGTGTCGCGCTATTTCCAAAATACCTAAAAATGTCCCGCTTTGACAAACAAAAGCGTGACAATCACGCAAACCCTGTCACCCGTGCCATCATTATGACACCGCGCGTACCAGGTTTGCATAGCTTGTCTAGTAACGTGATTATTCTGAAAAGCTACACTTTTGAATTTAAAGTTATAAAGTGACAATTTTTAATTAATCTACTGTAAATTATCAAATAACATAAGATATTTCCAATTAGTATTTATTTGATGTTTAGAATTCACTTTTGATCATTAAAAGACTCAAACAACTATGTGTTTTATTTATAAAACTATATTAAAGGGTTCCAGATTGATTTTTAATAATGGCGTAAGTATAATACTAACATATACAATAAGTGTAATACTACTGCTACTGAGAATTTTGTGACTGAAAAACCCAATAATTCTTGACCCGACTCGGGTTTCGAACTTGGGACCACATGATCAGCAATTGCGATTACTGCCATTAGACCAAGAAGACAGTCAAAAGTGTTAGAACTATAATAATTTTAAAGGCGTCCCGCTCTGAGGAAAAAATTAATGGTCATTAAAAAGCCGGGCTTTTTAGCTCCATACTAATTTCTATTTATACAATCGTAGTTATATTTCATTATAGAACATTTTGCCACAGGTTAGAAAGGGAGCGATCGTCTTCTATTCGTAAGGCTACGAGATCGCACAGAGTGCGCGGGAAATTTGAAATAGTTTGAAACAGTTTACGAGTTATTTTATTACTTAATATAATTGATTGATTCATCTTAATGAGGCAAGTCGGGCTTTTGGGCTTGTATAGAAGCTTCGCCATTGGTCTCCGGTTCTCTACACTCACCTTACGAAACACAGCAGCATTAAGCTCCTATTTGACGCTGGTATTCTGTGAGAGCGTGGTCCTTCCCCGGTCGAGCCGACCTATTCGTGCTCCAACCATACTACTAATATAACTGCAGCATGGCTCTACCACGTAACAACAATGTTGGAGCAATTACAAATTAAATAAAGCTATAAAACATTTTAGCAGTCAAAAATTGACATAGAGCCGAGTAAACTGTCTGAAAAGGCCAATAAATACTTGAGCAGAATGAAATTATGGGTCCGGTTATATACGGATTTTGTTATACGAATGAAATTTTACTCGATTTAATAGCAAAAAAGAAGTCCGGCTCGAAGGACCAAAATTAAATATTCAGTCTGAAAATACTTATATGTATTTTTCTTATGTTATTCTCTTAACACTAGCAAATCCTTGTGTGTCGTGAAAGTGTTTTTACATATAAGGAAAATTGCACATGCATAAATGAAGTAATATGTTTCAGGTACGGCCATCACAACTTGGCCGCAAATATCTTAAAGCGTCTATCTGAAGAAGCTCCAAGCGAAGCTGCACAACGCTGGCTCACAGCGCTGTACCGCGCTGCTTCTGCAGACGCTAGATTATTAGTGGAAGGTTTGTGTATTTATTTTTAAATAACTGTAATATGATATACAAAGTGTGATATATGGCACTAGCCAGATAGAGAATACCTGGCTGCAGGCTTGTTTCTAAATTACGAGCAACACTAACGATCATTGTTTAAAATGGACACAATTTGTTAGATTCGTATCAAGATTGCATTTTTGATGAAGTTAGAATATGTAGATGGACATTAAGTTTTAGATATGTACAATTATTTTTACAGAATAAGTATGACAAATGAATCCACATAATCGAATGTTGGAATACTGAGGTCCATAAACACCTAACCTCGACTAAAAATGTAGATGCGTTGTCACCCCTGTGGACTAACAAAGGATGCCTCGTTATCTGTAAAATTGTTTCCGATTCTATACAGGTTGTTTGCCATATGGACCGACAGGATTTTTTGGGGGGATGGGGGGGGTTATTCTCTACATTTCCCTGGTAGACCCTATGTCCTAAGTGTCACTGTAGCTGAGATATGATCTTTAATAGGTTTTTTGAAAATCACCCAAAATCTTGCCTGTAAATCGGCATAACTGTTTTGTTTGTGATCGCAAAACCGCAAAATAACTTGTGCTGTATTCTGCATTGTTATTATTCTAAATAAATAATTACTTGATACAATTCACATAAAAATTGTTTTGAGCTTTTTAAGTCTTAAATCTGTGTAAATATTAAGGCAAGTGACAATTTCTAAATTCATTAAAAAAAAAAGATTAAAAGTCGTTTTGAATTTAACTTTCCTCTAAAAAGTCCTTTTCCAACGATATGCTACATGACATAAGAAATCATTCATTAGATGGTTAAAATAAAAAGATGCTTGTTTGCTAGGTTCAAGATTAAGAAAACACTTTTTTATGTTATTTTGTTTTTAATTAATTTAAATTATAAAATTTGTTTGAATTGGCCACCTCCACACCTGATACATGAATGCCCTACTCATGAAAGGCTGCCCCGCAAATTTAAAAACAATCCTGAAATGGCTCCACCGTGCCGGGTTGTGACCGGAGGAGAGGGCCTGATAGCGATTCTAGGGGGAGTGTGTGCCCATCCACATAGGGTCGACTTCCTGCATATCTTCCTAACTCGTTACACCAGTGGAGGTCGCCTTGCACTTTCGTTACACGGGTGATTCTGAAAATCTTTTTTACAATATCGGTAATCGTTTTTTAAGCTATATTGTCGGCACATGGCCACTATATATCATACTGATTTGTTGCGCTATGTCGGCTACTTTGGTTTTACTAAGCGATTAGTCACTGCATGCTCTGTGAAATTATTGTTCGCATATCGTATGTATCGCATCATTGTTACCCTTGTACCACGTATTATGGAATACTTTAACGTTCGTCCCTCAAAGAGCAGAATAACGTTCTTGATATAGTCGTCGTCGTAACGTTCTTGACACAGTCGTCGAATAACGTTCTTGATACAGTCTTGATACAATCGTCGTGGCAAAAACCCATCCCATCGGCTTTGCCTTACATAAAAACGATGCCGGCATACTCTTCATTGGTGAAAGAACTAATTTTATACACAAAATTGTCCAAAAAACACGTAGTCACAAGTGAAGTAGCTCGACATCAGGGTAGATGGCGGAGCTTCAACTTAACCTTGTCAACACACAATAAAAACTCGGAATTAAAAGTCTTAAAAAACTCTGATGTATCAAAGAGTTTTTAAAAATTTTCCGAACATCCCACAATCAGACATAAACTTGTAGATCTTACGGACTTCTATTGGGCACCAAAGACACAGGCTTGTATACTCCTGGACGGGCTGTGTGATCTTAATACATTGGGCACTAAATTACGGGCGAGGGGACGGGGAACACTTATATTGTTTAATGAGGTTAAAAAACGTAGTCATTATTTTATTGGAAGTCGTTAATGTTAAACTGATTTGGATATTAGCCGGAATGGTGGCAGACAAACAGATAAAAATTTGATTAATTATCGTTTTGTTATAAGTACCGTATATACTTTTATACTGGGTGCCTTTTTCTACAGTCTGGAAAATAATATGGTGTTTTGTGTGAGTGGAATAGAAGCTATCCTCGAAATTATTTGTAAAATATAGCCGATAGGCAAATTTTCTGAATATCCAACAAAATACAAAAACAATTAATCCAGCGGCATTTGCGTAAAACTAAAAATAAATGATATTTTTTTAACGGCTTAGGCTACGATCGCTAGTGAATGAAAGTTATAAGCGCGAGCGAGACGCAGCACATTTCTTACGTTAGGCATTCAATGTTATGTACCTGGCACCAGGCGGCCGAGTGGGGGCGACCGAGACATAGCTGCAGCCAACATTTGGAATCAGGCGTATTCAAAAAGATCTAGCTACAATACTTGCCTTCGTAATACTTGCGGATAATTGTTTTTGGATACAGCGGGCCCCTTTTACGAATGCAGATTACTGACATTCAGCCGGAATAACGTCACGATACATTGACTAGTCTGATTACAGAACGATTAGTTAGGTCCACTTTCCTTACGACAAAATTTCGGTATTAAAGACAACCCGCTACATTTGTTCATTTTGTAATGCATGGCACTTAAAATGCAGCATTATCAACCGCATTGTAGAACGCAAAAAGTTGATACATAACATGATGTGCATTACGACTAGGCGTTTATTAATACGTCGTATTTCTTATTTGGCTGCGATATACATTCGTGCCCAACGAATGCAGCCGAAGCCACCTCTGCCGGAATTGAAACTCGCCGTAGGTCTCTTAGTCTTTGCCCTTTCGCAGGGTCACAGGCGCAAGGGCAAGGCCGCACGCGCTCTCATTTCTGTCACCTGCGAATAGCTACGGCGTGACGTCGTATTGTTTATGTTTCCGCGTGTGTATCGGCCACCCGCTGATAGTTTCGTAAACATGTACCAATATTCTAATGTCGAATACCCAGCCATGGTATATTTTATGTCGTGTGAGGAAAACTTGGATGGTGCGACAAGTCGACGATTTACCCGCGATGGAATTCACAACGTGCACAATGAGCACTGGTGGTTTCCAAAACCCACACAAAATCAAATAAACAAGCTCATCAAGTTCGTTTGTGTGTGTGTGAACATTTGGGCGGCTATCATTAACGACCACATCAATGGTACAATATGGATTGAAGGTCGATTGACTGGAGTGAAGTATCTGCAAATGATACGTGCCGTCATCGACGCAATGTTGGAAAACGTTCCCCTGAGCCATCTGCAAGGAATTTACTCTGCATGATGAATGTCGAGCTCCTTACGAACGATCTGTGCGCGCATATCTGGACAGCCAATTCGGCGTAGGTCACGGTTGACCTGTGAACTAGCCGGTGAGATCATCAGACCTAACACCTCTAGACTTTTATTTGTGGTCCGAACTAAAACGATTAGTGTACACTGAAGAAGCACGAAGTGTTTGTGAAAGTTTAACAAACAATTTACAAAGACGTGCTAGTTTGTGTTTAGAAAGAACCAACAAATTATGAACAATTACTCTGTACAATTACTGCGTCACTAAGAAAGTAAATTTAAATACGTTTAAGGTGTTGCAGTATACGATAGGCATAATAATTATTCTTAGTAACTGTTTATGAATTCATTATAATTGTTCGATAAAACCGAACACCATTGTCAGCAATTGGCGCTACGCCGCCCGTTTATTTAGTGCATTTTCGTTACGCAACAGTGTCGGGTGCATTCATAACAATTTATTAACATTTTTGTAACTGTTTCAAATAAAGTGATTGTTTACTACTTCGGACGTTATCAATTCAACTACTACAAACAACCGGATACACACCCCAACATCTGCTTTCACAGTTTTCAGTTTTAGATCATTTGTTCCAGAAAATGTTTACAATTGTACAAGCGGTGTTCGTTGTGACAAAGCGGGCATTTTATTACAGTCACGTTGAATGCTGACCTTGCAATCGGCTTGAACTTCTTTGTCATGTTATTGTAATTGTTCGATTTATAAAATCTTCCCTAAGAAGTTGATGGCTACATTTGTTAAGAATTTTGATTGTTTGAGTTAGTTTTCTGATGTATGTTCCTCCGGGATATCTCCATAGAGGTGAATTTTACCTCCAAAAAAATCGATGATGTATTAACGTATTGTAACGATCGTGGCAAATCACCCATCAATTGATGACCTGCACGGACGGAGTTTGCGCCCCATTATTCCATATGGGGGTAGATTTACACCGGTTTCATAGAAGTTAAGGCGAACAAAACAAGAAGCACAAGATCATTGAAAGGCTACATAGTACTTTTTATCTGTGTGGTGACAAAGGTGGTACACTTGGAGTTAGTTTCAAACCTGTCCAGCACCGCCTTCCACGCTGGCCTGCGAAAAATGTCAGCACGTTGTGGTGCCCCATGTCACTTATATAGTGACTGTGGGACGAACTTTGTTGGCGCCAACCGTGCTTTGCAGGAGGAGTACCTTAGGAGTTTAATACCCTTTTGTGGCCGGACGCTGGGGGGCTCAGGGAAAGTGCTGTTCAAAGCTCCAAATCTCACTTAAGGCGGGTAGTGGGCGAAAAGCGGCTTACGTTTGAAGAATACTCTAGCATATTAGCACAGCTGGAAGCGTGCTTAATCTCCCGACCCCTGTGCGCACTCACGGAGAATATTGAAGACTTAGAATATTTATTGCGGCGAAACTTCCTTACTGGACGAGCAGGATTAACCATCATTCAAACTACCGAAGACGCTATATCAGATGGCATCTAACAACTGAAATATTCCAACAAATATGGAAGAAGTGGAGGTCACAGTACTTATTATAACTAACTGTAAGTAACAAATGGTTTCGACCACAACGGAACATAGAAATTGGGGATCTGGTAACAATCCATGATGACAACCTGCCGGCTGTGATGTGGCTTATGACAAGAGTGGTCAAGTTACATCCCGGCAGCGACGTCCACGTTCGAGTTGTAACTCTGAAAACCGAAAAGGGTTACTTAAAACAGCCTATTGTAAAGCTGAGCATTTTCCCAATTCAAAAAGCAAGCGGTGACAGCTATAGCAGCGAACAATTACAAGAAAGTAAAACAAGAAACAAGAGGTCAATAGGTCATTCCAGTTTACACTCCATCGTTATGGCTCTACTATTTTTTACAACATTGGTGTCTGCGGTGAATGGAACAAGCAACATAACTCATCTAAATGAAAATCAAACCTTGTACTTTAACCCATTGACATAACTATAGCTTCTGAGAGATCAATGGACACTAGTAACCTACTATGAGATGGAACCCTTTTGAGACGGGACAGAAGCATTCAAGAAATTATTAGACTACGTAGAAAAATTATGCCTAATTATGGATACAAACAACAAATGTAACCTAATTGTTCCACAGTTACGTCATGAGAATACGGAGTTACAATACTATAATCAGCTGTTGCTGATCCAAAATTTTACCGAGCACTAGACGGCGACGACTCCGCCTTACCAATGGGGTCGGTTACCTGACCAATACATTATTCGGAGCATTGGATGAGCGATTTGCCGAACAATATACACGTGACATTATCAAACAAGACCAAGCCCATCTCAAAAGGTTATGGATCAATCAAACATCTGTGGCATACATCCGTTTAGTATTATCTTTTTTGAAGCTATCCAACTCTTGCTGGATGTCTGCTGTTAATTCTGACTGTTTTCGTAGAAGATCTTCCATTGCTTGTTGTTGTTGCTCTTGATGTTATGTTATGTTATACAGACACTACACCCTTGTTGATGTTTCGTTGGATATTTAGTAAGCTCTCATGTGATTAACGCACCTTCTCAATCCACTGGTGAGACCCGCTTGTGGGAGGCCAGTGGACTGATTGCTCGCATCTGAAACTCACCAAAAACCACCGCTCAAAGGACCAGATATCGGGGTGTGTGTCCGGTTGTTTGTTGAGTATGTTGAACGTCCGAAGTAGTAAAATATCACTTTATTTGAAACAGTTACAAAACTATTATTAACGTGGTAGGGCCATGCTGCAGCTATATTAGTACTATAGTTGTAGCACGAATGGGTCGGTTCGACCGGGGAATGACCACACTCTCACAGAATACCAGCGTCAAATAGTAGCTTAATGCTGCTGTGTTTCGTATGTAGAGAGAGTATGTATGTAGATTCGAGTGTAGAGAACCGGAGACCCTATCTACTGGAAGCGAGGCATTCCATCTTAGTCCTCACGGGTGACAACGCATCTGCATTTTGCTTTTTTTATTTGTAATCGAGGATAGATGTAGATGTCTATGGGCCACAGCAACCACTTACCAACAGGTGGACTGTGTGCTTGTTTATCACCCTATCCTATAAAAAAAAATTGTTATGAATGTACCCGACACTGTTGCGTATCAAAAATGCACTAAACAAAAGGGCGGCGTAGCGCCAATTGCTGACAATGGTGTGCGGTTTTACTGAACAATAACACAAGATAAAATTTTACATGTAATTCTACTTAACTACAATATATCAAACGGCCCTAAGCCCGTAAAACTATGAAGGAAAGATCAAAATCACAAAATTAACAATCTGAAATTGCCACTAGTAAAGAAGGGTGCGTATGATTTGAATTTCGATAGTTTTTTTATTGATATACTTATTTAGTTTAAAAATATTTTTTTAAGCTTTTTAGTATGGAATGTTTACTTCAAATTAGTAGTATTTATAAGTAGATCAACTGGATCTGTATCAACTGTGTATGTTAATAATTTTAAAAAGAAATTGTAAAATATCAGTGCAATGGATTCTACTCCGTTCGCCTGTTACACGCTATTTTTTCCAGGCGGTAAAAAGTCATCCAGTATGCATTTAGTAAAAAGCTGTTATTTTGACATTACACTTCAATTTTATTTATTTGTATACTTAAGATAAGCCATAATATAGCGTACATATGTAATTTTATTTCATATTTGTCTAACACCAGTTAATGTCGTAAATGAAAATACAACTGAGTGGGAAATTACCGTACCAGCTACCTGACCGCGGCCGTGCTCGCAGGATTCACAGCTGTGACACACTTTTTGTTCTGAATTGCCGGTCTAGTTAGTCATAGAAGTCTTTGTTTGGCACGATCCTGACACACTTATATGCTTAGCTGTACAAAGAGAACTTGTGACCGCAGGCATATCAGGCGTGGAGGTATGCAGCGGGCTGTGGGAGGCGTGCGGGGACGCGGGCGGTGCGGGCGGCGGGGCGGGCGGCGCGTGTGCGGCTGGCTGCGGTGGCTGCGGCGCCTGTACGCCGCTCGCCGCTGCCTGGATGAGCGCGCGCGCCGCCGCGCTCGCCGCGCTTGCGCAGGCCGCTGCCGCCGCGCGTGCGCTCTGCACTCAGCCACCGCCTGCCGTCGCGCAGGTCAGTGTACTGTGCAGTGTGCGTGCCGCAGTTTGCACACCGCAGTGTGCACGTGCCCTAGTGTACCGTACCGCAGTGTGTACGATATACGGCCCAAGAAAATCCCCTCCCTTTTGGCGAGTAAAAAGGAATAGCACATGCAGACATGTTGTAAGAACGGTACACAATAAAAGATGCGCCTTCTGATCGCGGTCGCAAAAATCGGTGCGTGACGTCTTTTAAAAAAGTTTCCAGCGAATTTTTTTACCTACAAGGTTAATTTGCCTTTATAGAAGAATGGTAACAAAAAATTATATTAATGGGAATCTCAAACATTCTGTTTTTTTTTTATCTTTTAAATTCAGAATGCGTGGAAATGTATTATTTTAACAGATTTTCATCCATAAATAATATCTAATATATCTACTATTTACTATGCACACACACATTCGTAAGTTTGTTCGGTTACAAATTTTGGTACTTAGTCGCGCGTCTTCCCGCGCCCTTTAACCTAACCTTCCTTTAACCGTTATACCGCTAAGTACCTACGTCCCCTGCTGGCCAGCCGACAGCAGACAGTGTAGAACGTGACCTCAATACGTACAAGTGTGCTATTTTTAAATTTTTGTAGGCAATGTAATTAATTAGAAGAGGTCACCGAAACTGAGCCAAATGAGGAAGGCATCTGTGTCTAGGAAAGGCTCGTAAAGAGCCTTGTAGAATCTCCCGATGAGCTCCTTCTCCTTCCATACGGTCTCCCGGTTGGAAACGGTTCTGCCGGATCCTGCTATTGCTCGTTAGCAAAGATAAGAGGCTGCACACTTCGCTATTATGCATGGTGAGAGCGCTAAAAATGCCACGCCCACCAACCATACTTTCGTGGCAAGTACAGCCTCATTACTGAAGATCTCGAATGATGCATTCTATGTAATCTGAATTCACAAGTGATGTTCAGCAACTCCACAAGATGGGAGAGACTAGAGTCGAATAACTTGAGATGATCCATATATGTATAAAAGGCGGGTCACTTTTATCCCTCCTTTGCGTAGCTGAAATCCTCTCTCGGAGTCCTCCAGTAAGGTACTGAGAGGTTTCAGAGACAGAACCAGATTGGACTCAGACAATCGCCCTGGAAGATAGCCCTTCTTATCCTTATGGGTTAATCTCAGATGACAAAAGATCGTACTCCTCTGCCCCATACACTGCCCGAGGAAATCTCTAGCTGTACTGTCAATCTTTTACAGCTCGATGACCCTCTTTTGCATCATGGGCATCCAAAGAAATACTGTCAATCAAAGGAGGTCGTATGCGAGAAGTGTGGAGAGGCGAGACACGAGCGTGGGGCTTGCAAATCAACGCAGGAGAAGTGCGTCACGTGCAAGCGTTTTGGTCAGAGGGTCATTGTTGGCCTCAACGCCAATGCGCACACGCCACTCTGACATTGTGATCGCCAAGACTACGTAGGAAGAAGACAGACTGTAGAACACTGAAGGCAGCAAATGGAGACATTCATATTCTCTCAAGCACTAACTTAGCGAACCTGCCTGACCAGCCTTACACATACTCTGGGCCTGGAGTGGAGTCTAATGTGCACTTTACGCTATCCACTGGAGACGGCTACCTTACTGACTGGCGAGTGCACGAAGTGGTCTGCGCCAGCAATCACAACCTTCTCACTTACATAGGGATCCCCCCATTTTCGTGACCTAGGGGTGGATTGGGACAAGTTCCGGACGATTATCAAATTACGAATGGGATGGCTGCATGTGGAAAACCCGTGGCCCTCTTGGCAGAGGAGTTTTCAGGGGTCATTATCCGCTCCGCGGATATGCGGGGACTGAGAGGTAGGTCAAAGGAAATAGCCATAATGGCTTTTCATAGTGTGCGTGCGAGATACAGGTTGATGGAGGTGCAGGCGCAGTAGTCGCAAGATATGAAGGTTGCTAACTCTGGTAACGAGGTCTCATGGGGCCTGGCGTACAGGGTGGCCAGCGGGACGGTGCGACCGCCTGCAAATGTGATCAACGGGATCGCCTTTGCGGGCGGACACTCGGACAGTCTTGACGCGGCGATGCTTAACTTAATGCATGCGCTCTGTCCGGATGACAGGCCTAATCGTGACATGCCTTTCCCTAAGCAGGTTCGCCCACCTGGGTGGCATAGTCAAGGCCCTGCCTAACACAGCTCCGGAAGTCGATGAAGTAAAGCACCAAGGGTGTATGCCAGTAGAGGGGGTGTTCCACAAAGTATGGAAGAACGAAAGACGGATTGTTATTCCCAAGATTAATAACAAGCCGCTCACCGACGCCAAGGCATACCGTCCGATAACGCTCCTGCCTGTTTTGGGAAAAGTACTGGAACGCGTAATGTTAAAATGTGCCCTGCGATCAGTCTCGTTATATCTGAGCACCAGCTCGGTTTCTTTCCGGGGCGGTCTACAGTAACAGCGCTGCGTGTTTTGCTCAGCATGGCAAGGTATTTTCGGGCATGCTACGTACAAGCAATCTTCCTAGATATCTCCGGCGCCTTTGACAACGCCTGGTTGACTATTACCCAACATTTATAAAATATTGGTAGACTATTCATCTCCAGTAGGGTGGGCCTCTACATCGAGGACCGGGTAGAATGGAGACTTCGACCATGGCATGTCCTCAAGGTTTCGTGCTGGGCTCAACACTGGGGAAAGTGCTGATAGTCGACCTACTCTCACTCACCCTGCCTAAGAAATGACCATGACTGCCTATGCTGATGGTGTCATGATTCTGATTGTATCAGAAACCAGAGCGGACATCGAATCCAGGGCCAGAGTCACTCTGGACCTTGTACGGGAGTGGGGGCTAAGGAATCGACTGGAATTTTCCTCCTCAAATCCGATCATCATGACTGTTAGAGGGAAACTTCAACCCCCCCCCTCTCCCCCGTTATTAAACTTGGTGGAGAATCTATAAAGACTGTGACTAACGCTAAGCTACTAGACGTGATTTTGGACTCGATTGTGTAATATGCGTCCGATATCTCTGAAAGAGCGACCAAGGGATTCGGCAAGATCAAAAAAATCATCATAGGGTGTCCGATACCCAAGCTTAAAAATAATCTAGTGCTGGTACGAGCATGTACACAGTTTGTAGCGTACACCTGAGATCGCAGCGATCCGCCCTTATATTGTTAACTAAGGCATACCGATCTGTACGCCGGCCTTACTGGTGCTGGCTGGCGTTTTCCCTGATTGACACTTCGATTGCCGTTTTACCTGATTAACTCACAAATTGATATTTGTCCCAGCAAACGCCATCCTGACGATGCACACAATTCTCGGCCTATTATTGCTCGACCTGAAGCCTATCAGTCTGCCTTTGAGGGCTCTTTCCTTTGCGATACGGTCGTCGATCCTTCTTTTCCAGGCTGAGATGGCGCTAATTTTCTCAATAGCGCGTCCGGGCATGGGAAGATTGGCACCACCGATGCGACAAACTACCAAAGCAGTGCCAAAAAGTATCGAGTCCGTATCGCAGAGGTCTTGGTTGGTACCCAATTGTTTTACTAGCATCGGGTTCAGGACCTTTACGAAATCCCGATTCCGCTTGCTTAAGGGTATGCGCGGGAGTTGCGATCGATTTTGGAAAGGCGCACTACGCGCTTTCACAATCGCCCCTAGCTTACTCCTCATCTGCTCTAGTTCATGGATGACCACTCTATCATCTCTAAACCAACCAGAACGGAAGATCCATGGCGGCTTCCATATATCAATGCTGATTTGTGGTTTGAGGAGCAGCATCCCTAGCCAAAATCAATTTATTCAATGAGGGTATAAGCTTACGTCGTAGTCTTTCGAGTTCAGCATCATCAAATCGTTATTATTATTACTAATATTATTTTCAAAATCTACCAAAAACTGCCAGTATTAATCTATTTCTTTATAACGTAGAAGTCGTGATGTGGCAATATTATGTTGAGTGTTAAGAGTGAAAAACAGCACTTACTAAACAAACTTAAAATTGAATGAATCACAGTCAAGTTGTATTTAGAAGCATAAGGCGAGCACTAATTTATTATGTTTGCATGTGTGGGTGTGCGCGTGCAGGCGGCGCGGACAGCGTGTGGGCGCGTGGGTGCGGCGGCGGGCGCGCTGCGGCGTGCGGCGCGGAGCCTCGCAGCCGTGGCGCGCCGCTACGAGCACATCGCACGTACCGCCTTCCACGCGGACCGTTCCACGCTCGCGCACCTCCACATGTATCCTTTATATATCATCTGTAGACACTCACACACACACGCACACACGCACGCCGCACACACACACACACACACACACACACACACACACACACACACTTATTATATTATATTATCTCATGTGCTTGCTAGTTGACAAGAATATTATTAAATTAATAAAATACGTGTGGCACTCGGTGACTGCCGCGGTAAAGCTATTGCATAGCATTTTTATCAACTTATGCAATTATAATAATTTATTTATTTTATTTATGCAGTATTTTTTTCTTTGTTTTTTCTTTGATATTAATACTTACTTACTTACTTACTTACTTATCTTCACGCACAATCCAGAGGTAGCCAGAGAGAACAGATCGCCAAGTGTCACGATCCTTACATACCTCTTTCGCTTCCTTCAGGTTCATTAACTTCTTCATACATGCACGTCTAGGTATCCGAGTACTCTTGACCCTCCCCTCTTCGAGCAATTTGCTCACATGGTCTTCGAAAGTTAGTCTCGGTCTACCTCGACACCTTTTAATATTTACTTTCGCTCTATATATTTTCTTCACCATTCGGTCTTCACTATATTCGTTCAACGTGCCCAAACCATTGGAGTACGCCCCTATCAATTTTTGTGATAAGGTCATCTTTCAATCCTGCCATATTGCGAATCTCTTCGTTTCGCTTTCGGTCGGCTAAGGTAACGTCACACATTTTACGAAGAGATCGCATCTCCACTGCATTCAACTTGCTTTTATGCTTCTTCTGGCATACCCAGGTTTCGCTGCCATATAACAAAGTCGGTACCAACACTGCGTTATGTATTGCAAGGCGTGCACTCTTCACCACGCCCTGTCTTTTTACTAATGCATTCAGGGCACCATTGACTTTGTTCCCGGCAGCGACACGCCTGTCTACATCTAAATCACATCTTCCATCCCGGCTGAAAGCACTCCCCAAGTATACAACTTCATTTACCTGTTCTAGACATTCCTGATTTACCCATATTTCACATTTCGTTCTCTCTTCGTCCTTTTCAAATACCAGAACCTTAGTTTTATTAGCATTCAAACGGAGACCTTTAATTTCACATTCCTCTTTCATACACGTGACTAATGCCTGCAGTTCTGCTTCTGATGGTGCAATAAGCACTGCATCATCAGCATACAGCAGACAATTAACTTTTATGTCACCCAATTTCACACCCAAACAGCTATTTTTCAGCTTCTGTAAACAGCTGTCGAGATACAGTATGAACAGCCAGGAAGACATGACACAACCCTGTTTTACGCCCGCTTGGACGCTAAACATGGGTGACAGGTCATGCCCTACCCGCACACAGGCTTTACAGTCATAGTAAAGTGACTGCACAGCCCTTAACAATCGACCATCCACACCATATCCCGGCAACAGTTCCCACATTTTCTTCCTTATAACCTTATCAAATGCTTTCTCCAGATCCACAAAAGCACAGAAAATCTTCTGGTTAACACTCAGAAGCTTCTCCGTGATCATGCGGAGAGAAAACATTTGATCCGTGCATCCTCTTCCAGGTCTAAATCCGCATTGTGCCTCCCATAAGAATCTTTCCGATTTCTCTTGCATCCTACGTGTCAAAACCTTCGAGTAAACTTTACTTGCTAAACTGGTCAAGCTGATCGCCCGATAGCACCCGCAGTCAAAATGTGAACCTTTACCTTTATATAAAGGCACAATGACCGCGGATCGCCAATCATCCGGGACATCTCCCGTCCGCCAGCACAAATTGCACAGCAGATGGAAGCTGTCCCAGACGCGAGGCCCACCGTACTTGACCATTTCTGCAGTAACTCTGTCTAGTCCCGCAGCCTTACCACATTTCAAACTTCGAATCGCACGTTCAATCTCTTTCATGCTGATGACCTCAGTGTCATCGAGGTCCGTGTCTGGCGTGCCAGTCACGGCGTCACCCCCGGATCCTTCACTAAGATCATGACACTCATACATTTCTCTATAAAATTCACTCCATCGCTGCATGACGTCCGATTTTTCTGAGAGGACGTCATTGGTTCTCGAAAGCACTTTGTTCAATCTTAAGGCTGTCGCACCACTCCGGGACCTTCCAACCTCTTTCCAGAAGAGTTTGGAGTTTTCCCTAATGTTGTGCGACAACCTCTCGTCCGCTTCTATTCTACATCTTTCACGTACTTCCTCAATCAATGTTTTCGCATGAACTTTCTGCAGCTTATATCTTTCTTTCATCTTCTCTCTCATATGCTCATCGTTACTAGAGGCCAAGTAGTCTAACCATGCTTTTTTCTTCTTTTTTACAGCTTCTCTCACTTCATCATTCCACCATGCATCTCTTCTTTTACTACTACCTCTTTTTGTCGTACCACGTACTTCTTCCGCTGCACTTACCATTCCATCCCTAAGGTTCCGCCATGTTCTCTCCACACGTTCTTTCCTGCCATCGATGGTGTCAAGCTTTTCGGCTACCCTCGTGTGATATTTGTCCCTAGTATCCGCTTCCTGAAGCTTCCAGCTTCGGATGTGACAAACCGACTGTGGTTCTGTTACTGCCGTCCGGTAGCGCCAACCCGCGAACAAACCCCTAAATCTAGTAATTACTAGATAATGATCCGTTCCCAGGTCAGCACCCCTGAACACTCGTGTATCCATCACCTGTTTTCGCAGTCGGTCATCCACCAGGAACAAATCAATCATACTTCTCTCATTCTTTCTTTCTCTAGTGTACATATGGATTTTCCTGTGATTAAACATAGTGTTTGTCACAAGAAGACCCTTTTCCTTGCATACAGCCAGTATAAGCTTGCCAGCATCATTAACCCTTTTATCGCCAAACTTTCCAAGCACCGACTCGTATCCTGGTCGAGCGATACCTACCCATCCATTCAAATCACCACATACAACAGTTCTTTCGTTTTCCTTAACCAAATCTAGAACTTCTCTTACATTCTCCCAAAACTCCTCCAGCTCAGCCCTGGACGACGAAGCTACCGGCGCATAAACAGCCAAAAGGAATAACTTCGTCAGTCCCATTTTGAAGCGAACCCAGAGAAGTCTTGAGTTCACAACCTTGTATTCAGTCATAAGATCGACCAACCGGGACGACAACAGCACTCCCACTCCCTGGCAGGCGTTCTCGCTTTCCGGGACTCCGGACCATATAGCTAACGTCCCGCCAGGGAGCTCTTCAGTACCACTGCCTTTCCGTTTGGTCTCCGACATACACACGACATCTAATTCTCTTTCTTTCATTATTTCGATCAACTCATTCGTCTTATTTCTCATGCCCCCTCTAACATTCCACGTGCCAACTCTGCACTCCGTCCTCCACCTTCCGCCTTGTCGGGCTGTGCGTGACGGGTGGCGGTCCCCATCGCCGCTTTGCGCGCTGCATTCCACACCAACGGGGACGAGCTGGTGTGCATCGCCTTGGGGGGACGCCCTAACCCTCGTTTGCATGGGTGCGCAGCTGTGTAGAATTGCAGCCCTGAAAAGGGCTGGCAGGGGTCGCGACGAGCACGCTTCTACAATGACCCCAATGAATGATGATTTTGATATTAATTCAAGTTAATATTGTTTGATATTAATTCAAGTCAAGAAAACAATTTTTTTCTTTTATTGAATAAATGAGAAGTTAATATTGTTTAAAATATTTTTATTATCTTACAATAGATGTAGGTTATTCAGGAAGTTTTATCATTGAAACTATAGGTTTATGGTAATTAACGAGTTCTTCCGACAAACGATAATTTTCTATAAAGTCTGTGTTTATTAAATACTCTAAATCCACGAAAGTTGCTAGCATGACGGCGACTCATATAAATCCAAAGAATATGCTTCTTGCAATAAACTATATTATTGTTTAAAATATTTTTATTATCTTACAATACATGCAACTAGTCTACACGCATACGTCTAGTAGCACGCACAGAAACACCGTGCCGAAGTCTGCCGAACTTAAACGACGTTAGACGATGTTAGGTTTTCGGGTCTTAGGTTTATTTTCGTTACGGAATTTCTTGATTCGGTCGCCGCGTTCAAAGCCCGCGATAAAAGCTATGCAATAGCTTAAAAATAACAACTCCGTCAAAAATGCATCCTTAATCAATACAGTCTCATCCAGCAGAGCAAACTTAAAAATGTTGTATACTATTTATCATTTTTAGCTTTTAATTAAAAAAGCCCTAATGCCACGCTTACTCCATAAAACAAGATGATTCCACTTTTTAAATAAAAATAATATTATTACAATGTCACAATTTAACTATTATTATAAATAAGTGACAATATTCTTAAATATAATATTATTTTTGTTCGTTTTCTTACACCTTAACTCAAATATTTCAATAGCTCGGAGCACACATTCGCACAGCTAGCTCAGTTTCTTGAACGCATCACGTCCAATCAACAGGAAATGCCCGCGGAGTTATTCACTAAGGAGCTAAAAGCGACCACACTAGAAGAACTGATAGCTCTTACACCATCCGTGGAACTCTCCAAGATATCTACGAAACTTTTTGACAATCCTACTACTAATCCCGGAATTACCCATAGAGTAAGTCTTTTTGCGATTCTTATGTATAACACTGTCGAATGGAGTAAAGGAATGTATCAATAAGACTTCTTTTGTTCATAAATAATTTTAAAGATATTTTTAAATGGTTTTGTTGAAACAGAAGCTTATTTATTCAATATTATTTACATACTTTTTTTAATATACCACTGGTTCAGAAAAAATTCTGAGAAGAACCAGCAAGAAACCCAGCGAGACTTTTTTTTAAGTAACAGCTTACAATCATGCATGTTAAAATTAAAAACATAACAAATTATAAATAGCTTGTTAGCGGTCACCGGGGGTTGTTATCGTCCATAAATTCCTCAATATTATAATAACCCTTTTTATACATTGAGTTACAATACTCTCGTGGTATGTAACAATGAACAGTATTTTACATATTAAACATCATCGGGTAGATTCATATTCTTTTACAACTGTAATTAATTTAGATTACTGACAGTTTCTTTAATTTTGATTTGGATGACATTAGACAATTTTGAATTTTTATAATTACATCGTACGGTTTCTTTGATAGTTAAGTTAGTTTATAGTAATGTAGTTCAAGAGTTAGTTTAAGAAGATAGTACGTAAGTATGAGTGGCGTATAAAGTAAGCACACGTGTTCTACTTTAGCAGTTTATTACACACACTGAGGTTAATTAGAAAATGGTGCGTTATAAATATTTCGCGACGCGGCGGTTCGAACCACTTCAGCACTGTCTCACGATTAGATATACGGCCAATACGACGAATCTTCCCAATAGCAAATAAATCGTGGTGAATTGATGTACACATAGAATACTATAATACATACATAATAGAACGGGGGTGTGGGCGGAGCCCGCGTAGTCACTGAAATGCCACTAACACGTCAATTCACACGTATAAATGTCAATACGTGCTGTGTTTTGACGTTACAATCGTTTCCAAATTTCGCATGCAAATTATTTAGAAAATGCCAAATTGCACGCAATTTATAAATAAAGATGTATTAAAATCCGTCTGTCAACACAGCGGATCGGGTTTGTAGTAGTGATTAACTGATAATACGACGTAATTGCTTGTATGTGTGCTCCCAGCGACGTAATTCCTCGTACAAAATAAGGTTGACAGCCATTCTATTGTGTATTATAGTATTCTATGGAGGTATCTAGGTATTATATCGTAGGAGTTTATCGCCCTTGGCATTTTCTCGCTATCCTTGTTTACTTTCAGCTTGGTATCTATTTCTGAGGCCAAGGAAAAGCTTCTACTTCCTGCTGGTGTTCTGTGAGATCGTGGTACCTCCCTGGTTCGAACCTGCCCATATGTTCGAGCGTTAAGCAGAAAAACCTGCCTCGTGGCTCTACCATTGTTAAAGTCTTTTAGGAGGCACCGATTTTGAAATAATTGACAAGTGTTTAATCGCCGCTTTATAATCAATGAAGTGTCCCTTTGTAACTAAGAAAATTTCCAAACTAAACACACCTACAAACAAACAAACAAAACTACGGATTGCGGTTGTCGAATGAAACGTCAATCTTTTTTTGTTTTACTTGAAGTAAGTCTGGCAAATGATAAAAATTGATCATACATCCAAAATTATCAATTTTATCTAATATTGTGAAATGTTAATTAATTAGCATAAAATAATCGATATCGAACATCGCTTCATTGTTATATCGATTGTTTTGCTTTTATTTTTTATTTATTCGAGATTATTCGATAACATGGTAGATGGCACGGTAAACATCGAGCTCGTGCATAAAAATAGTAAAAAAAATAGTTTTAAAGTGATAATAGCCTTATTTGTGTAATAGTAGTGAATAATTGGTGGTAATATAAACACTATACTGTTATCTGTGATAAAAACCTATATTTAACAAAAATAAAAACGATTAAAAGTGAAGTGTGAAACCTAGTGCAAAACAATTAAAAAAACACAATTATACATTCATTGGAGGGTGTTGTAAGTCTTATTCTAGTAACAATTGAACATTAAAATTTATCAATTTATGAACTTAACAAATCATATTTAAACAAATCGAATATAATTATTCACATAAAACCGTTAATTCAAATTTTAAGGATAAAATCATACACATTATTAATAACATCGACATCTATTGATAAACAGTGGAAATTCTTTGTGTATAATATAATTACCATTTAACAACGTAATTACGCAGCATGACATCTAAAAACACGAAAACTACCAACAGCGACCACAAGATGCCGGCAGTAGTAACATGTTACAAATGCAAAAACATAGTTGACATAAAAAAGACTGCGTTATTTTCAATATGCAGAAACAGGTACGAATTAGAATGTGATGGCTACCCGGAAAAAACATATCGCCTATTGGATCAGACATCAAAAAAGAAGTGGCGATGTAAAATGTGCATCAAAAACAAAAAAAGATATCAATAGCAATATGCATAACATTACAACGAGAAAGAAACCTAATCCCACAGAACGTACTTCGCCCTCAACAGATAAATTGTGTATTGCAAATAAATTTCAATGTTTTGAATCTTCACAGTTATCGGACCAGAACACTTCTTACGTGCTGGATTCTCACATACTTACCGATTACAATATATCGGATGAGTCATTCACCACGCCTAGTAAACTGTCTAAGAGTGTAGACGGGACCGTAACAGACATAACATCAATCTCTGAAATGAAAGTAACGATATCTCAGTTAACCTGTACACTTGAAAATACTCAAAACGAATTAGAAAATTTGATATTAGAAAATAATGATTTACACAGACAAATACATAAGTTGACTTCGGAAAATAAAATTTTAAAATCACTCTGCCATTCTCCTACAAAAATAGGAGGTAGCCTTGGAGTTTGTAATAAAAATAAAAGACACTCCTTATTAATTAATAACGCATCTTCTGTACCATCTTCGCCGATAGTCAAGTCACACCTTAATCCCAACACTAACACCATCATAATATGCCTGCAACAAGAAATCAGCGACTTGCAAAAACAACTTCAGGATGCAGAAAAAGAGATCACAGGTATTACGGAAAAATTAAAAAAATCTGACACAAAAAATACATTAAAACCTCGATAAAAAAATTGAACAAAACCTCATATCCCATCACAGTACAACATAAACCCGACCCTATAAAAGAAATTCACATCATCGGTTCTCAACAATGCGTCGGCCTGGCTGCAGCTATATCACATTCGAGACATATGACTCAATACGAAAAATATGAAGTTACTGGTCAGACGAAACCATATGCACCAAGCTATGAAATAATAAAAAACTGTCAAAAAAATGACGCTAAAATCAGACGATAAACTTATAATTTGTGTAGGGGAAAATGATTACAATATACAGCTAGTTTTATCACAGCTACAATGTATACTAGACACCTTTAGTAATAATACGATAATTGTGCTAAATGTTATTGAAAATATAGATATAAATGTTAATAAATTAAATTATTTTATTAGAAATATATGTAAGAAATATAAAAATTGTCATTTTTTGAATTGTAAACACTCTAATCGTTCGGAAATTTCTAAATTAATTAATTATGTTATTGACTGTAATGATTATGCAAACAAATATTTAAGAGGTTAGAGTAAGTCAGCTCAAATTCTAATTTCGCCCCCACTTCCCCGCGCGTCGTATGCTATGTACCGAAATATTTGTAATCACTAATACTGTAAGTAGAAAGGTCGTTAGACACTTATTTCATTAGGTTTATCATATTTATTCCTGTTTCTTAAAGCCAAGCCAGCCGCTTCTTATTTTTATCACGGTTATTTCCCATTTTAATTTTACGTCGTACTGTTGCGTAATGTATATTCTGATCGTAAGCGACACAACTTCTCTCTTCAAAAGCCTAAGCGATACTAACGGAACGACGGGAATCAAGCTCAAGACGCCGATAGTTTAGGTAATTTCTTTTTACAGTGAAAATAATGGTATTTTAAAAAAAGTAAATAACATAAGCACTGCTTTATAGTTAGTTCAGTTAGTATGCAAAGTTTCATGATCTTATTTAAAGTATTTTATGAATAACAGCGGTTTATTGTTTATTTTGGAGGTAACTTTGGATTTTTTTTCTATCGAGAAAATTTTACGAAATCGTGTTTTCGTCTAACATAATCACTAACATTAATCCTCAACTTTACCATATATTTATTTCAAAATTAATGCTGCAATATTTTCGGCATAATGAAGGATCTTGCTAAGCCATTTGACATTATATTTCCCCTTAAACCCTAGCGAAATCAGTAAACGTATAGCAAGCAATAAGTCAAGTTTTAAAATGTGTAAAATCTTAAATGAACCCAAAAAAGGAACAATCCCTTTTTATTTTAAGAAACAATCTGACATCTCCGCAAAACCAGTTGAACGTTTTAATAGAGGAACGATACCTTATTATTTTCCCGTAATAAAAAAGAATAATACATTTTTTTCGACCGTAAAAAACAAATTCCTGCTGCATATAATTTTATAATTTTACATCAAAATATCGCGAGTGCTTTGTTAAAACAAGATATAATAGAAATAACTATACAGGAGTTACAGGAGAGTAACAGTGACCCGGGTGTTATTTGTCTTTTGGAAACTCTTATAAAAAAAGGTTGTGAGAAGTTTTTAAGATTAACCGGTTACATCATGGCCGCCAATTTCTGCAGAGAAAAGCAAAGAGGGGGAACCTGTATCCTAGTTAAAAAAGGATTGATTTTTAATTAACTGTCATTAACAAAAAAATATGCGTCGCAGAATACGTTTGAAGTCTGCGGCATTGAACTAACGTGTATTAAATTAATAACTGTCTGTCTCTACAGAACACTCCAATCAGATCCGACCCAGTTTCTATGCACACTAAATAATCTCTTACACGATTTAACTATGAAATACCGATCTAGAGCACAAATAGTATTGGCTGGTGATTTTAACATAAACACATTAAAAAGAGACAATATCACTAAAGAACTACAAGATTTATCCTATAATTACAATTTAGAAATACACATTGATGTACCCACACGAAAGTCATCTTGCATCGATCATATTTTAAGTAATATTCCGAATGCAACTGCAGCAGTACTACCACTTCATCTATCTGATCACGACACAGCACAATTATTAAGGTTTCCTTTAAAACGCGATATACAAAAGCATGCGATATATTATATTTATAAAAGAGATTATAACAAAGATAATATTAGGAAATTTAGTGAATGTCTACAAAAAATGTGTTGGTCAGAAGCGTATGCGGCAAATGATGCTAGCGTAGCTTTCAGTAGTTTTCATGATTTGTTGTGCCTTTTTTTATAATCTTTGCTTTCCAAAAGTACGAATTAAAGTAGACATAAATAATAATAAAAAACAAAATTGGATAAGGAAAGGGATCAAAGCAAGTTCTAAAACCAAACGATTCTTAAGATATAAGTATTACAGGAAAACAAATGCTGTTAATAAAGCTAAATATATGAAATATTCCAAACTATTACAGAAATGTATTCATAATTCAAAAAAAAATTGCCAACATAAAGTTTATAAATAAAAATGACAACAAGTGTAAGGCCACGTGGAACATTATTAAAAAGGAAATAGGTAGCTCACATGACAAAAATGACAGAAAAAATTATAATTAATAATAATGTTTTGACGGACCCAATAGAAATAGCCTCTGCCTTTAATAATCACTTTATTAATTCGACGCACGAAACAACACACACAAAAACAAAAAAATTGCTAAACAACACTCATAACATCAACACTATGTGTCTCAAACCCATGTCGGAAAACGAAGTTAGAGGAAAAATAATGTCATTAAAAAATACTAATTCTGCAGGCTATGATGACATAAGTACAAAAATTCTAAAAAATTGTATCGACGAAATAATAGGAATCTTGACCCATCATTTTCGTGTGGAACTTTTCCAGATCCATTAAAGTTATCCATTGTCAAACCACTATATAAAAAAGGAGAGAAACATATCGTCAATAATTATCGCCCAATAACACTGATACCTATTACGTCCAAAATTTATGAAAAGTGCACGTACAAAAGAATAATCGAATTCTGCAACAAATTTAATATTATAATTAACGAACAATACGGATTTCAAAAAGACAAATCTACTACGTTGGCCGTTTTTTCTCTCCTAAAAATAATCCTATCAAATTTAAATAATAATCACTTAACTACAGGGCTTTTCTTTGACCTGTCTAAAGCTTTCGACTTAGTTTCACACGACCTCCTGCTACAAAAACTTGAAAAGCTTGGGATTAGAGGGCCCACTCTTCAGTGGATATCTTCATACCTCAGTAACAGACAGCAATGTGTTACAATTATGAAAATAGATGAAAATAAGGATTTCATACCGTACTCGTCTGAATATAGACTCAATAGGTATGGCGTTCCACAAGGAAGTGTGCTTGGTCCTATTTTATTTATATTATATATAAATGACATTGTTAATATAACAAATCATAAATGCATATTATTCGCGGATGATATTTCAATAATTGTGACTTCTAATAAAAAAGATAATACTATTAATGACCATGAGACTGACATAAATAACACTATAGATAAATTAATTGAATGGCTTGACATAAACAATTTAAAAATAAAACTTGACAAATCAGTATATATACAATTCAATAAATGTAATAATAGAAAATATAATATTAATCTCAAGATACCAAAAATAAAAGCAGTAACAAATACAAAATTTCTAGGAATAAATATAGATGAAAATTTTAACTGGAAATTGCAAGTAAACGATGTATCTACGAGATTAAATATATTTGCATACGCCCTTAAACATTTAAAAAACGTTACCAACATAAAAACGGCTGTTCTGTCCTACCATGCATACGTCGAGTCAATACTGCGCTATGGACTTGTAATCTGGGGTAATAGCACGGATCAAAATAGAGCATTTCGCGCACAAAAAAAATGTATTCGAGCAATATGTGGGCTTAAACCAACTGAATCATGTCAACTGGTGTTTAAAAAACTTGACTTATTACCCCTACCATGTCTTTATATTTATGAAATATGCATGTTTGTATGGAAGCATAAATATTTATTTAACACGGCGGATAATGTAAACCCTCGGATGCGGCGAAACCCATACAAACTCATATTAAGTGACAATCCTAGAATAAGTAAATATTATAAAAGCTGTTTATCTATGTGTGTACGTTTATATAACAAGTTACCAAATAATATTAAAATGTTAAATACTAGATTATTTAAATCAAAATTACTGGAATACCTAGTTAAGAATATTTTTTATAGCATTATGGAATATATTAATCATAAGTCCTAATGTACGATAAAAATCTTTTGCATCCTATGTTCTCTCTAGCAAAACATGTTGTTCGAATGTATATTTGTAAAATCTTTTTCATACCATGTTTTAAGCAAATAAACATATTATTATTATGTGTGGGGTATCTATATAGTTTTCTCATCTGGTTGGGATGCATAAATATATAATTATAAACGAAAATGAAAAGATAAATATACATAAATATCAATAAAATAAAATAAATACGAAAATACATAAATAAATAAAAGCCCAACCAGATGGAAACCCTCGGCAGGGGAGACCAAACGGCCAAGGGTTAGGGTGAAAGGGAAAGAAACCGGCGGACGATGCGGGCAGTATCAAGGAGCACCGCCTTCTGCATTTGAGCCCGGAGCGGTCCGTCACGGAGTCCCAGTCGCCTCAGATGACCAGAGAGGCTAACTGGGATTAGCCCATTCGCAGAGACGACTACAGGAATAATTTCGGTCGGCAGACCACCCCACATGTCGGTCACCTCGTGAGCCAGGTCCAGATATTTTGATTACTTATCTGTTTCGGCTCTCACGAGGTTCTCGTCATACGGGATGGTAATATCGACCAAAAATATCCTTGATTGTGCCCGGTCCATCAGCACAATATCAGGCTTATTCGCAAGAATAGTAATTATTATTATTATTATTACACTTTTGACAAATTTTAAACGATGCTTCAGCTTCTGTGATGACAATACGATAACTTTAGATGGGATCGTGATACTTTATTAACTGCAGAGCCTTCTTTATATTCATTGTACGCAGTGTTTTTTTTTTATAGAAGAGGGGGCAAATGAGCATGCGGCTCACCTAATGTGAAGTGACTACCGCCACCCATGATCAACCGCAACACCAGGGGAATTGCAGGTGCGTTGCTGGCCCTTTAGAAAGGAATAAGCTCTGTTCTTGAGGGCCACCAGGTCGTATCGTCCGGAAAAATCGCCTAAACTATTCCACAGAGAGGTTGTATGTGGAAGAAAACTCCTTTTGTAACGTACAGTGGTGGACCGCCAAGCATCCAGATGGTGTGGATGGTAGATGGCAGCGCCAGTGAATCGAGCCGATCGGAAAGTTCTCTATCGTCGACGCCACGGAGGATCTCCGAGCCTCACCCAGAGATGGAAACAGTATTTCATGTGCGGCCGAACCTGCGCCTTGTAAAGTTGCAGCCGGTGTGCCGGCATGAAATACTGTCCCGCTGTGCTGAGCACGCCAAGCTTTTTAGTGGCCAATTTGGCCTTCTCTTTCAATTGACCACGAAACTGCGCTGCAGTGTTGTGTTTATGTATCTACGTTGGACTAAGTGTTGGTGAATGCAGCACATGGAGGCGGTGCTGCTCGCGGTGAAGGCGTGCAGCGGCGGTGCGGTGTGGCCACGCGGCGTGTGCGAGGCGCGTGGCGGTGCCGCGCTGTGCCGCGTGTCGCTGGCGCCGGGCTGGCGCGCGCCGGGCGCCGAGCACGCCGCCACGCTGCCGCTCGCGCACCGCCTCGCGCTGCGTCTCGAGGGCGTGGTGCTGCCGCCGCCGCGCAGGTACCGCACCGCACCTACACTACACTACATTTTTGAAGTAAAAACTTCTTTAGCGGCGTTGGTCACTTTCTGTAATGGGTAAAAATTGTTAAACTCGCGTCAGGACACGTGACCCTGATCGAAAATGCGTAACACGAACGGCGTAGGAGGGGAAGTATCCCCCTCTATTTCTACTGCGCGGCGAAAATGTATGCCTGCGCCTGCTGTTTCGTTTAAGCGGCGCAGAGCGCTTGCGCGAATGTAATATAAATTGTCATGTTTGTGTACGATAGCGCAATAAATAAATATTGTATTCTACCACATAAATGATAGTACTTTTATACTGATAATTAAAGCAAATCGTGCAAAATTATTCCCTAACCATTCCAAAATATCAAAAATGCACAACGTTAATATTCAAGTTTTCACTTCTGCCGTCACTTCCGGAGTACAAACCGTCGTTTTTTTATAGGAAAAGGGTGACAAGCGAGCACACAGTCCACCTGATGGTAAGTGTTTGCTGTGGCCTATAGAAATCTACATCTATCTTCGTTTGCGAATCAAAATGAAGATGCGTTGTCAGTCTTGATGACTAAGATGGAATACCTCTTTTCCAGTAGAAAGGGTCTCCGGTTCTCTACACTCACCATACGAAACACAGCAGCATTAAGCTACTATTTGACGCTGGTATTCTGTGAGAGCGTGGTCCTTCCCCGGTCGAGCCGACCCATTCGTGCTACAACTATACATCTAATATAACTGCAGCATGGTTCTACCACGTATAATCTAAACCAGATAATGCGCTATACATTATCTGGTATACGGCATAGCCAGGCGCCCCGCCTGTTACTTCGCTGTTCTAACTGGCAGCTAATAAGTACAATGCATCAGTGCTGTTAAAATAAAAATTTTAGGACATGTAACTGTTTATTACGCTGCTCTAATACGTGTTGGCGAACTTCACATGCTTTTGATATATTTTATATTTATATTTCTCAGACATGCAGGCTTCTTGACGATATTTTCTATTACCACCGAGTTCGTGTTAAATCGACACTAAACTGTAATTAACAATTGGGACACCAATTGAATTTAGCTCAAGATCTTACGGCAATTATTTAGTCAGTCGGAAATATAAAATAAATACACAAAACAAATACACGACAAAATCCGTAAAAACCAGTTTCATTTAAACTAAGGCTTCGAACTAAACAACATTGCACTGCGTTATGTTAAATTACCTCAAAACTCACATGTTTAAGAATTATTTTACGATACTTACGAAACGATGAAATGATAAACTCTCTTACGCTTACTGCACACCACTTAGGTAAGAGAGCACAGATTTCTGTAAAGTCAATTACGCTTTGATATCTTCGGCAAATCCCTGCTATATATCAATAAGCTGGGTTTGACACAGATAAAATAAAACTTTTATTGTTCTATCCTGAAAAACACTGCTAAATCATCTGACAGCATGAGTTGGACATAAGTCATCACTAAATAAAATCAATTAAACATTAATAACTTTAAGAAACTCCCTTAAATATACGCAATAATAGTAAGTAGTAAGATAATGGAATAATAAGACTTAACTGATTTAAATATTTGAATAAAGAATATTGTTGACAGGAATAATAATTTTCAATAACTTTTTCTTCGTTTAAAGTAAAAGGCAACCACCGCGACAAGTAAAAGGAGTCCAAATCACAGTTACGGTCACACCACATCCACGGACCATCGAAAAGGTAAGCTCATCGCTTGATTTTCTTTTTTCTAAACAGCTGTAAAAGTTTTAAGGAAAAATTACACACACATAATGTAAAAAATCACTGCTGGGCCTCTAGCATCTTCAGCATTGAAATAGATGAGCAAAAAGACATAATGATTATTAAAAAGACTGATAAGATATAATGATGATATTAGACGAAGAAGTATAAAGTTGCATAGTAATTTAAAGTTAATCAAGTTGTTTTTTTTTTAATTAAACAAACAAAATAAGGTGGTTATTTTGAAAAACAATCTGTTTCCGCTAATATCCTATATAAATAAATCTTTAAAATGGTATCCAAATCTTAAAAGTTTTATAACAAAAGTGTTACTTTGTGAAGTTTGATTTGAATTTTGTCATTTCCTATACACTCGTTATGTTTTTCTATCTACCTCTCTCTGGTGAAAAATAAAGTGAGCAAAAAAATATCATATCAATATTGTTCGATCACCATTCTAAAGGTTTTAATTTTGCTTGCATTTTTGTTAATGTTCATACGTATCTAAATTCTATATGATAACACGATAGCATGAAATAGTGTTGTGATGTTATTAGTTCTTGTTGAAAATCAGCTGACGCATCACTTATCCCAAAAATACTAAAATAAAAATTACTTTTTAACGAATTACATGATTGTGTAGATTGAACTCGTACTCAGATTTTTTTTATTCATGTATTCGTTCATTACACTACTACATTGATAGTCCATTATTAAACATGGGCCTCTTCCCTAGATTACCTTGTGTAGTTAGTATTGACAGTTTTTTAAAAAATAATGCAAATTGTGACAAAAAAACAGTATTTTAAATAACAGTTGTATTTTATATTCATTGATAAAATGATGTTTTAGTTTTCTGGTAGGGTCATTGCGGTACCTATGTACCCCTCAAGATCGGACAGGCTGCTATTATTGTTTATTGTGTAAAAATTACATAAAAATAGTTTATTTATATTATTTATATTCAGTTTTATTACATTTATTACATTATTACAAATAAATTTGACTTATTATTTTGTAAAAAGTTTCAGCCTATATACCCACTGCTGGGCATAGGCCTCCCCTGATTTCTGAGAGGGTTTTAGGACAAGGAAGTGTCCGCCGCGATGCCCCAATGCGTGTTGGCGAACACATGTCTTCGAAATATATATTTTTTTCTTATTTCTCAGATATGCAGGTTTTCTCACGATGTTTTCCTTCACCGCCGAGCACGTAGTATTATTTTGTAAAACTGATATTAAATATATGTATACTCGTATAAATTATTAAAATAGTTTCGATATAACGAAATTTCAATGACTGAACGGTATTTTTTAATATCAGTGTGCCTAGTGCGAGTTTTTTTACGGGTTCGATAGCGATAAAGTTAACTACGATTTGTATGGAATAAAAAAAGCGCCAACTAGTGACAATAATTTGAAACACAATTCCTGAGTGCGAGTTTACTACGTGGTCGATATCGATCATCGAACATTGACTAAGATTCGACAGTGAGAACGTTAACGCTCGTGATTGGTTGTTTGAAGTAGAGTGCGAGCGACAATTTAGATTTTTTCATTTTGAAATTTCGTAAATAAATCATTTTGAATTATGTAACCTTTACGGCGTCGCTATCGAAAATGTTTTCACTTGGATTTTTACAGTGAGATGGAAGAGTGGGAATAATTGTTAAATAGTTGATTTTATTTCGTTTTATGTGAACGATGTATAATTATGGCAGGACGTTTCTTTTCGCTTGGAGGATGTTTGCAGCCGCTAAGGCGTAAATAAGTAATAATTATAGATGACTATACTATTCTTTGATTATATAGACAATCCCATCATAATCAAAGCTGCTACTATAACGCCAGTGTTGAAGCAAGAGCTTGTGCATATTCTCGTCCGTTGTTACATCCCGACTACAGGCAATTTAAGGCTAAAATGCTATATCTATATAGCATTTTCCAGTAAAGTATTCAAGTTTTGCGTAAATAGCGTTTGATAAATCTAAGGTCTACTATCTCTATTCAATAATTAAATCAATTTCTTCTAAATTTTTTATACAGACTATTTGATCGCTTGCATTAGACGATACTTGGCCGAGGCCTCCATGACGAAAATCCAATAAATTCTAGTCCGCGTAACCTAGTTACAAAACACACGTATCAAACTTCAATTAACATCTAAATAACTTAAATTCCATTTACTGCTCCAAAAATGTCACTATAAAAGCATATTAAAACGAACACATCTTTATGTTTTTTACTTTTAATTTAAACGTTATATTATTAACGATCACGGATAAGTTACTCGTCCATATCTAATTCATAATCTTATTAAACTAACACAAACTGTCGAGTGTCGAAACCTTGATCAAATTACGAAACATAAACAAAAAGGGTAATAAAGATATAATAACCATAAATATGAAAGACAGATGCTAATATTAAGACCACTAAATAAAAATGTCATTCTGAATTTGGTTAGTTTATCTCACGGAACGAACATGCTACCAACATAAGATAAGGAATAACCGCCATTCACAGTGAGCAAACGCTAATCGAAATCGGCTTCGATTGTAACTCACACTCGCTCGTCTTCGCTTGTCGATACCGACGACGTTAACTCGGTTAGCGTGATGGTGACGTCATTCGATTAATTTTGTGGAACTCGCACTAGGCACACAGTTATATTAGTTTTTCTTTATAAAATCTAGTGCTTGACCACAATCCCACCTGGTGGTGAGTGATGATGAAGACATAGATGGTAAACCGCAGTATCCTAGCGTAACAAAGGCCTATTCACTCTTACCTTGAAGACGCCCAGATTTTATTGGGACATAAAGACAGACTGCTAGGTTCAATTTTGCAGCACCAGCCCATATGTGACAGCAGTACTCCATGCACGGCCGGATTTTCGTTTTATATGGGGTAAGAAACTGCCCGGCTTGAATAACTGCTGGATCCTTCCAAGAACACCTAGTTTTCTTACGGCTGCTTTGGCCTTGAACTCAATAAACCTCCCGTAGTTGATTCGGAGAATAACAAAGAATAATTTCTTTCCACTAAAATTGCTTTGCTTTGTAAGAAATAGCGCCATCTACTTCGTTCTATAATTAAAGATTATAGTCATTCTCATTTTATCGAAATTGAACCAAAATTGATGAGACTCAAGGTGGTACGCACAATAGATGCTAGATGAGCTAAACACAAAAAATTAATATGAATCATTAAGATGAAATTGTATTGTTAGGAAAGAAATGTTAAATAAATTTATATATATAATAATATTGAATTGAAGCATGGTGCGAGTGGGGGAAAAGAAAAGATACGTCTTCACCGTATGTCGGTCGTTTATTGAGTCCCAAATACAATCATTTCTTATAAAATCTAACTTATGCTAAACGCGCTTGCGCAGCAGAGTCACACGGGACTCGCGCATGAAATATAAAACTTCTAGGTAATGCATTACATCTCCCCCCGAAAAGTAAGGGGTACCTCACTACCCTCTTTAGGAAAAAAAAAATGATTAGTGTACATATAACTTAAGACTAATAACATAATGAATGTATAGGTACTTATCTGAAAAGCAAACATTTTTTTTTTTTGATTACAAAGATAAACATTGCAATTGAAATGGCTTTGTGTTATTTTTATGTAAAATAATTTCTTTGTTATTTTTCAGAAATTTTACATTAGGTGGTAATTCTTCCAAAACTTTATAAGGTCCTTCATACAAACAATCTAATTTGTTACCTGTTTGGTTTTTTATTAAGATCAAATCTCCTGGCTTATATTGTACTTTATTACATTTTTGATCATACTTAATTTTTCTTAAATTTTTACTTATTAACAAATTTTCCTTAGCATCAAACTGTGCTTTTTGTAAACGGTACTTTAACTCCTTAGGGTAATCATCGAAATTATACAGTGGGTCAACATGTGTTGATAAATTACTAGGAATATTACAAATTTTGCCGAAAACTAGTTCGTATGGAGTATATTTTGTTTTTGAATGAACGCTTGTATTGTAACAAAAACACCAAAAAGGAACCCATTCGCTCCAATCTGACTTGTTATTATTGCACTGAATTCTGAGGTAAGCGCCTAAATGTTTATGTGTATTTTCAATGCCTCCTAAGGTTTCATGATGATAAGGCGTTGAATGGATTTTTTCTATATGTAGCAATTTGAAAACTGCGGACATAAGTAATGAGGTAAATTCGGTCCCCATGTCACTTAAAATTTTTCTTGGAATTCCATAACGCAAAATAAAATTATTAACGAAAGACCTAGCAACACTTTCACTATCCTTTCTAGGTAAAGGATAAGCCTCTACAAATTTGCTTAAATCACACTGGATTGTTAAAATATACTTATTATTATAGTTATCTATATCTAAAGGGCCCATAATATCTAAATTAACCTGTTCAAACGCTGAGTTAGCAGTTGAAGTGATTGTCAGAGGATCTCTAATATTTCTGTTAGTATGCTTTTGAACTTGACAACTTTTACATTTGCGGACATAGTTCATGACGTCATTGCTCATACCTGGCCAGAAATAATATTTTTTAATATTATTTAACATACGATTCATGCCTGCATGACCACTTGTTGGTAACAGGTGAAAGTCATTAAGTACCGTGGTAGTTTCTTCTTTATTATTTATTCGCTTAATGTCTTTAATAATCAAAAATCGTGGTGACGCTATTTTATACATTTTTATGCTGCGCAGCAAATTCTTAATATTTTTCTCATTACTCTTGTTTTTAATTATGAGTAATTCTTTTATATTTAATTTTATGCACATTTTTTCTAGATCTCTCGCTAACTCTTCTAGAGACGATAACGATCGAGAATATAGAAATATGGTCGATAACGACGGGTTATACGTGCAAAGTTTAGCGTCGGACAAAATATGATACGCATTATTCAAATGTTTTTCGTTACTATTTCCTGGAAAACGCAACTCTATTATGTCATTGGGTCGTTTTAACAACT